GGCACGACACAATGACCACTGGTACTAATTTAAAGATGATCAATGTTGATTGAAAACGAAAACACAAGATGCGTTTATGTCATGGGCAGGAAGCTACCTAGTGCCGTAGTTGTGGCAGCCGGACGGCGGACGTTGAAGGCAAAGCCGGGCGGCGCGCTTGCCTGACACGACGTTATTTGATTTGGCGAGCACCGCTTCGTCGTTCCGCCTCCTCAACCTCGAGTCGAGTCCCGCCCGTGGTCCATGGCCGCGCATGCAGCCTGGACGGAGTCGGAGTTTAATGCCCTCCCTTGTTTCTTCCCGGAGGGTTCCAGCCGAGCTATCGCTAGGGCCCGGCCGCGTTGATTTGATCTGTGGAGTCAGGGCGAAGCAGCTCTGGCCGACGGCCGGCGTCTCAGGGTCAGGACGACCTCAGTCTCTCTCACCACCCTCCAGCTGGTGGGGCCGACGGCGTGTCCGCAGCAGCTGAGCCGAACGCAGCAGGAGTCCAGTGGCCGCCCGCCGTCGCTATGGGCATGGGCATGGGCTAGTGAGGACTGAGGAGTGTCCTTGAGATGGAGAGGAGGAGCCATCAGTCATCAGTGCCGGCCGGCGACCCCGTTCCATGATCCACGAAGCGAAATGCCGCAAGGAGGCGAGAGCGACCCATGCCCTGGAACAATGAACTCAACTACAGAAGCAAGAGGGGCCTCCCTGGCTCCCTCAGATCACCATCACAAGAGCGTAGCCTAGCCGACGATGGATGGATGGAGTGCGCAGACAGGTAGCGCTGCACACGGACACACAGACACCAGGGCTACGAGACGACCACACTCCAAGCACTGCTGCGATGCGGACGCGGTGCTGCCCGCCTCAGTCCACACACGCAGGAGCCAGAGCCATGCGCGATGGTCGAGCCGTCGCCGGATTAGATAGAATAGGTCCGTCCAAGACTCCGAGCAGTGACCAGAGAGAAGACCAGCGCAGTGCAGTGCAGCAGTAGCAGTCAAAGCAGGACGGTCCCTGTCTCACACAAATGCTATGTTCAGACTTAGGCTTAGCACACTGACACTGGCCATATCACATCGATCATGAGGTAAAGGTGATGTGCCGGCGGCATCAGCTCTCGTAAACCCTACATACTAGGAGAACGAAAGCTTGAATTATTTTCGTTTACCGTGGCTGTTTCTCTTTTCTGACAAGAGTTCCTGATTTTGTGAGCATACTGCTTTATGGGAATTGATTTGTGTTTCTCCTATCAGGATGATCGGATTTGCAGTGCTAGCTTTTAGCTAATCAATACTGAGGTTGAGTCTTGCGGATATTGTAGTTTTTCTAATTCTTAGAGAATATGGAAGAGTTCCTTTATAATACTAACACAATAGGTTTTCTGAATAATTTTCTTGTCATTGTACTGTATTATGTATCTGTACTACATTCGCTTGCCTATGGTAAGGCTTATCATCGACTCTTAACTTATGATTCTAAAACTTGCCTATTATGGAATTATCTCAAAGGAAAATGATTCAAAGTTTGTCTCGACTGCGATAGATGCAGTGAAGGTCTTTAAACTGATCAACACTTATTCTTCCACTCCCCCTTCTTCTACAGAGCTACTACATGCTTTGCTAATTTTATTCATGCCACGAATCTTTTCTCGAGCACCCGAGTCTTCCTTAATTGATTGTTCCCTCTATCTTCTGTGGCGCATTTGGAAAGCTCACTGCTAATGCTGCTTATCGCTCTCACGCTCTAGCTCTTTGCGCAGACACCTCCTCCTTCCCCTGCCAGTCTAATGTTTTGCTGGTACCATCTGTGTTTAACGGAGCAGATCGATGCTGACGGTGTACATCACCCTGCAGAAATTTGCTTCATCTTCTTCTCTTTCTCAGTCTCATGCTACAGGTCTTGGAATTTACATTCTTGCCAACACGCCGTACCTGAAAGTACAGGCCTCTATTCCCTCTGCCCTCTCTGTAGTTGATGCAGAAGCTCATGCTTTACTTCTACATATGCCGTTGAATGCAATCATGTCTTTGATTAGAGAAGTTCCTCGTGCCATTAGTGCAGATTCCTTGACATATCTAGAGACTGAAATAAAGCAGTACGCGCTGGTGCGATGCTGCTCACTAGTCCGCCGTGTCCACACACGGAACAGCAGTGACAAGAAAGAGAGAACACCAGTGCAGCAGCAGCAGTAGCAGTCAAAGCAGGACGGTCCCTGTCTCCTGATTCTGACACCCGGATCTCGCTCCGATTGCTCAGAGAGGCGAATGGTCACACTCGCCGCCGTTGGTGACCCGACTCTGACGGCATCACCACACACTACACAGATCTCGCTCGCTCAGACAAATGTCACTTTCAGGCTTGGCACACTGGGCATCGGATCATGAGGTAAAGCTGATGTGCCGGCGACGTCTGGTCTCCCAAACTCGATATACAATCCACATGAAAAACCGACAATTCTTGGTAAAATTTACTTGTTCCAGTTCCTGACAACTGCTGCAGCATATTCTGAGGTTCAGTGCACACCTACCTTCTTTTTTCTCGCTTATAATCTGGTACAGTACATTTTAATGCCTAACATGGCCGCGGTGTATCGACCAACCACTGTCTTGAGGCGCTCAAAGTATCCTCAAACTTGGACCAAGGATTACAACCGCAACATGTGGTGAGTTGAACCATTCGTTAATTACCTTATAATAATCGAAAGCACATAGTGTCAGAGCAACTCCATTCATGATATAAACTGACAGGTAGAACCAGTGCAAGCATCACCACAATCCAAACATTCTGGTTACTCTAATCCGGCAGCTCTTCGTTTACCCTTCGAGATTTATCGCCTCCCCCAGTAATCTCATGCCATTACGTGACACCACCATCTAGCAGCAGGAGTCACTGCTCAGGTCACGCATAACATGATGTTGCTGATGTTGCAGATTCTGTCATGCATTTTGTAACAACAAGACTGCCATCACTTCAACAGAACCATCAGCCTGACTTTTAAGAAAAAATAGAACAAAAGGGCGTAAGAAAATGTACAACAATCTCTGATGTTACTCTACAGTATCGGCAAAAGTAGCATTGGAAACCAGACAAATGGTACCTTCACACTTAGGCTTGGCACAATTGGCATCTCAGATCATCAGGTAAAGGTGATGTGCCCGCGAGGTCAGGTCTCTGAATATATTCGATCCCTAGTACTCCAGGGAAACAGAAACGATAGCTGAGGCGACAGTGCAACTGCCTATCATCTTCACGACACAAGAAAGATTGCAATTGCTTATTCCAACTTCTCAAGCAACATTCCTCTCACTCTGTGCTGCAGATCAAATAGCTAGTTTGACATATTTTTTTGAAATAGAGGATGTACCCCGGCCTCTACATCTGGACGATGCATGCAGCTATATTATTAATTATTCACAAAGACCATACAAGGTGATACATCAATAAGCCCGAAGCCACCATCTTGTTAACACTGTTGCTACTTCTATCCCCTTGATGAAGGTGTGCCGAATGTCCGGATCTAATACCAAACAAACATCGCACCGTAACCTAACATCTAAAGCCGGGTGTCCCATCCAAGCCACTACGTGGATTGGGTCCCACACCAGTGATCAATGGAGTCCCGATCGTGGCGCCTGCTAAGCGGATGCCAGAGCTGTAGAAAATCACATTATTTGATCACTGCATCAGTCACACGTAATGGAATGACATGCTTGATCACAAGCTTATCACGGCCATTCCAAAGCATCCACAATAGGGCACCTATGATAACCCAGGGGGCCGGTCGCACATCGGAATTGTGACCCGAGCACCTCTCTAAACATATCGGGCAGGTTGTCATGACACCATCCGCCACCTACAACCTCCCGTAAACAGCTCCATAGGAACCTTGCAGCCAGACATACAAAGAATATATGGTTGGACTCCTCCGGAATCTCACACAGAGGGCACATTCCATCGGACGGGCCGTTCCGCTTTAGCACCTCTGTGCCTAAGGGAAGACAGCCCCATACCAACTGCCATAAGAAGATCCTAATCTTCAATGGCAGTTTGATCTCCCAAAGGAGATTCAACTCGACCGAACCTGGAGTAGGCATAATCGCTTGGTATAGAGATTTCGCATAAAAACGTCCATTAGGTTCTGGACTCCAGTGAACCACATCTTCCTCCAGAGATGGGGTGTGAAGGGAAACACATGCCACCAGCTCCTCCTATAGGTCCTGCTCAGCGGGGCTGAAGGTCCGTCTGAAGGCGATATTTCGCAGGTTGGGCAAGGCGGATGCCACTGTCATGTTTTTATCCACGCAAATATTGTAGAGCATCTGGAAATGAATGACGAAGGGTTGGGGTCCGGACCATCGGTCTAGCCAGAAAAGGGTGGGAGTGCCGAAACCCACTTCGATGGAGGAGCCAAGGCGTAGGACTGGCATGAACTGAACAATCGCCTGCCAGAATTGAGATCCACCAGATCTTTGTGCAAACGCCAAGGGTTCGCCTCGCAGGTATTTGACGCGAATAATATCTAGCCACAATCCACCCTCCCCCGAGGCGATCCTCCATAACCATTTGGATAAGCGGGCAATATTCATCCTTTTGGATGAGATCACTCCAAGACCGGCCTGGTCCTTGGGTTGTGTGGGTCTTCTGGATTCAAACAAGGGGAGCCCAAATAAAATGTAACAATTTTTGAACACGTGTCCACATTATAGGTTTGATGTCACATGCTACATATGTAGTACTGTCGAAAAAAGTCAACACATGTTGTTCTCATCGTCATTTATTCTGTCGGAGCACTAACAATAGACACACAATCAAATATCACAAATAATTGCATCAGTTAAGCTACACAGTAACTACTGCCATGCAGCAACAACCATCCTATTTAATCTTGGCCCATAGTAACATGAACAATAGTGTGGTATAACAATTTTTCCATGAAATTCTCTTATTCCAATGTTGGCATAAAGGTAAAAACGCCACACATAAATGACCTCCTCGAGTATAGGATGGTGGGTTTAAATCTCCATAGCTTTCGAGCATAGGTGTGGAATAACTCTAAGGTGCAGGTCAGAACTTCTGCGTACAATTAACCCAAATTTCTCGGACATGTCCAGCGACTCCGAGATGACCCCATCAGGAAGCATCCAGTCAAAGTGATAGAGAAAGTTAGCCAATGCCATCTCTAAAACTGATGAGGCAAATGTTATCCCAGGACAAAGGCGTCGCCCGAACCCGAAAGGAGTGAATTCGAAGCATGACCCGTTATAATCCATGTTATTGTTTTCAAATCTCTCTGGAATAAACTCTTCAGGATTGTTCCAGTATTGAGGATCCCTGGAAATTGCAAAGGCATTAATGTATATATTGGTACCTTTAAGCATATCATGACCCATAATTTTGCAGTCCTCTCCATTCTTGCGGTTGAGTAGAGGAACGGGTGTATGCAATCTTAATGTTTCTTTGATGACCATCCGCATGTAGTGGAGTTCTGCAAGGTCGCTACTGACAATGATAGCTCGGTCTGGACCTAGTACCTTACGGGCCTCTAATTGTGCCTTAGCCATGGCTACTGGATGATTGACGAGTTCCGACATAGCCCACTCAAAAGTGGTTGAAGTGGTATCAGTAGCGCCTCCAAAAATATCCTGGATTGGACATAGACAATCATTATTTCGAAGAAATGCTATTAGTTCTGTATTGGATATTAAAGTTTAAATAGTCCATTTCATGCTTGTTGACGGAGATTTATAAAAAAAATTGAGCAAAAGCGGAGATTTATAATTGACTGAGCATTCTAGGATTTTGCACACACAGAAGGTCAATTACTTCTACTTTATGAACCGGGAGAGTCACCCTGCCCTCTTGTACAGGTAAGTACAAAAAATGTGTACCAAACAAATAGTATTAACCATAGTTTAAAAAAGCCGGACCGCCCGTGAACCAATCAGGCGACTGATATGATTCACTATTTCGGTGGTCGTGGTCGGACCACCGGCTCACCTGGTTTGTTGGCGACAAAAACCGTTCTTTTTAACTAAACTTTAAGGAATTTCTGGAGAAAAATTACCGCACAATATATATATAGTGCATACTTGATACTTCAAATAATCACAAAACCAGGTCAGCACAAGTGGTATTGTGCCTCGCCATGTTGTACTGATTTTCTCCTGTTTTTCTGTTTTCGACGTGTGCTTCTTAGAAACCCGACGGTTTGATTCGGTTTTTTAAACTGTGATATTAACTGATTTAGATTTTAGAAATGATATCTAGCACACTTATCTAGAGAAAAGTTCAACCATGAGTATCTTTTTGTTTTGTGAGGGACCAAGCTATGATGCTAACTTTCAGAAAGTCAAAACTGAGGCCGAGCTAGCTACATGTAGCTCGGTTAAAAAATTGAATCTGCATTTATATGTTTTAAAAAAATCGAAAAATATTCTTTGGTGTAGATAATATCAAGATCTACCATTGTGAAAAAATTCAATCACAAATTCGTCGGATTTTGGCCTGGGCAAAAAAGACAATTTGCAGATCTGGATCGGTGAACAGTGTACAGTCTAAAAACTTCGAAATTTTGCAAGATTTGTCAATTTTTTGTAGCCTAGAATAATACGAATTTTGACTTGACAATTTACAATCGACTTTACCTACAGCTAGGACTGTATTCGAAATTTTCGAAACACGAAAATGCAAACTTATCCTTTTTTATAAACAGAGCTACATGTGTAAATCAGCCTCCAAAACGCCGCTCTAGCTAACTTTGGCACAAAAAATTTGATTTTTTGCCACACTTTACTTCTCCATTTGATCATTTGCCCCCATGAGAGGCTGCCGGGTGGGGTCCGAAGCCACTATCATTGAGACAATCATAGGACAAATCATCAAACCCCTTGTAAAGTGGGTCAAATCATCAAATCCCCGGAACTAGTTTACAGAGGGAGTAAGATGTGTCTAAAGTCCTAAGTAAGCGCATGCATGAGATGGCAATAGAAAGGAAAATATATACTCACAAACAAGACGGTGGTTATCATCTCTGTGGTCAGAGGGGATTCCAGCGAGTCCTCCTCCTGGCATGTGAGCAGCACGTCTAGCAGCCCCTCGTCGCCGTTGCCGGCAGCTCGCACAGCCTTGCGCTCGACGAGGATGTCGGTGATGATGCGCTGCATGAGGTCGAGGCTGCTCTTTATGCGGCACTCCTCGCTGCTCAACCACCGCACGAGCCTCGAGGACGGGAAGAGGTCGACAAGGGAGAAGCCTCCCAGAAGGTTCATGACCCGGTGAGACGCGTGGATGTAATCCTGCTGCTGGCTGAACTTGCCGCCGAAGACCGCCCGTGCCACGACGTCGTTGCTCAGCGCCGCCACCTTCTGGCTGACGTTGACGGTGGCGCCAGGTGATGCCGCCATGGAACGGAGGAGGCTGCCCATCTCCTCGGACCTCACACTCTCCATGCGCCTGACCTGCTTGGAACTGAGGAGCTCCGTGGCGCACACCTTGCGCATTCGGCGCCAGTGGTCACCGTAGGGGGCGAAGCTGATGCCCATACCACCATAGCCGACGATGTCCTGCATCACGGTGGTCCGCCGGTTCGCGAATAGGAGGTCGCTGGCCTTCATCATCTGCCCCACCGCCTCCGCGCTGGAAACCACCACGGTGGGGATCTCTCCTAGCTGGAGGTACATCATGGGTCCGTGCCGGCGACACAGCTCTGTCATGGTGCGGTGCGGGAGGACGCTGACGACGTGGTGGAGGCTGCCGATGATCGGGAGTCTCCATGGCCCTGGAGGCAGCCGCTGCTTCTTACCACCGGAGAGCTTGAAAAACCAAAGGGCCAGTAGCGTGGCTAGTGCTATCAAACTTAAGGTCAACCACCCCTCCATGATATGATTTGCAAGTGAGCAGTTCGCTCCTCGCTGTCCATCAGCTAATAATAGCCAACCAGCCATACGCCCATACCAAATTCTAGTTTGCATCCCGCCTGACAGAAGAATTTAGAAAAGACATATGTAGCTGTGAGAAAGCTAACTTGTCTTGCAGTTTGCATCTCGATCTACATATCAACTACTACCAATTGCCCCTATACTTTAAGACACTGGGACTCGTAGTCAAGGGTCGTTGATAGTATTTTTCGGGCTCCCACAACCTTTCGCTTTTGATAAGAGCATTTCTTTTAACACAGTACAGACACAAGCGCTCATATACATGTGCATACACTTACCCCGATGAACGCATGCATGTACACCCTATCCCTATGAACACATCCGAAAGACTGAGTCTTGAAATTTACGAAGTCACCTTAGGCACCTCGTCGCCGACGGGCTCCTCCACTGAATGCGGATCGCCGGAAATCCTGAAATAAATCCAGAAATAAATGCGAGCATCAGGATTTGAATCCTGGTCGGCTAGGGATACCACAGTCCCTCTAACCATCCAACCACAGGTTGGTATCTTCAACAGGTGCACAAAAATTTCGCGCGCTAAAATAGTTTCAACGCGCTACTGTAGCACTTTTAACGCGCCGGACTCAACATTGGTTTACCAGATGCCAAAAATGTGCGCCCAAAAAACACGTAGTCCAAATTGTGAAGCGCGCGTAATCCAGCGCCCCAAATTTGCAGCATGTGATAGCGCTTTTTAGTGCATGCCCAACCCTTTCTTGCGCACGCACTATTTTACAGTTTCTACTGAAGCTGTCCGGCGCCCAAAAAACCCGAATTTTAGCGTGCGGAGTAGTTTTTGGGCGCCTGTTGGAGATGCTTTAACATTGCTTCCTCCATGTCACCATATGGTAGTACAAATATATACATTAGTTAGGCCTGTACTCCATCCGTTACAAATTATAAGATATTTTAGATATTTAGGTGTGGACTAGATAGGGACCAAAATGAGTGAATCTACACTCTAAAATATTGAAAATGTCGTTACTGAATGCAACACAACGTGCTGATTTTGTGGAATTGTCATCGGCATGCTATTTTTTGTGGAAATGAAGTCACAAAGATTACAGCACAGGAGGCACATGGTATACGATGTACATAATTCAGCTCTTGGTGTACGAAAATGTGCTTGCTTAGGGTTCGATACCAGAAAACAATGATCATTTCAGACACAAAACCATTTGGTCATACAATGCAAGGGCTCATGAGGACGAGGCATTGTGTCAACAAAAACAGAGGATAAGGAACATTATGGATGTTAGGCATGGACTCTGATCATCAGAATTCAGACACTAGAGGATCGTTGCTCCGAAATGTGCACCCTTTGGGGTTACACCAGGTTTGTGTGCTTGAAGAACGTGTAGAACAGGATCGCCGACGTCACGAAGAGGCTCAAGAATACCAGCCAAATTTGCCAAACTGCAATGTGGAAAGCATACACCGGAAATCTTGGTAAATACTTGTGTGCAACATACAAGAACGCCATCTACAGCAACATGTATGTATGTACCTCTCCAGTCCGCAGGGACGTCGAGCTTCGTTATCTCTGCTCCCCATTGATGCGAGGTGGAGATCACAATCCTGCAACATCAGCAAACAAAAGGCCATTCAGTTCTTTCATTCAAGCTTGGACCATCAACCAGCGATGATTCTTCCAAGTGAATAGCTGAATAAACTCTGACTTCACTATGAACAAATACTGAACTAGTTGCTACTTCACTAGTTTGGCAGTGCTTCAGGAAGACAGTCGGTGATTATTTCAGGTTTGTCTCGCTTCTTGTAACAGGAAATACCAGTAGTTACCATTACCTTTCAGTAGGGCAAAATTCAATGGAGGAGATTGGGGAGCCAAGATGGACTTTCTTGATCAAGTGAGAAACTTGCATCTTCTGTACATCGGCAACACAACAGTCGCCATCACGGCTTCCTCTAGATAAAGATGAAAAACGTATCCATGTCAGTACCCCTTCACAGCCAAAGGAAGGATGTCGCGTCGACGCGGAAGGCTCAGCAGATCTAGACAAGCACATTAAGTCGGACGATGAACAAGTAGTATGACATGCGGACAAGCTCTTTTTGTTACGAAATGTGTGCAGAATAGGAGGTAAGTGGTTTCTTCCAGTAAAATGATTATTTCAGAGGTGACCAATCAACATGATGTTCAGTCAACTGCATCCTTTGAAATGTACAACTAGATGGATTGCAGATGAGAAGTGTGAGAAACACAATTCGGAAATTGTTTCAATTCTGGGAAAGGAATAACTATTCTGAATAACCTCAGACTTCGGCGATGCAGGAATGCCTAGAAATGTTAAATATAGAAATATTGCCAGAGTCAATATTACATGGGATGTACTTCCTCCGTAAAGAAATATAAGAGCATTTAGATAACTATTCTAGTAATCTAAACACTCTTATATTTCTTTACAGAGGGAGTACCATCTTATCCACTTACAGTGCGAGATACTTCCCATCCAAGCTAACTGAAAGTGTGGAAATGGGCTTTCGCAGGAGTCTTTTGTATCCAATTCTCTTCCAGTTACTTATGTTCAAAACCACAGTCACGATATCATTTCCTATTTCATCAATAAAAATTCGATTAAGTCTGTCTGGTGTTGCATTTCTTGACTTTATCGACGTGATTACCTTTTACAAGTGTGCAAAACAGAAAAGGTTTCTTTCCATCCCTAGAAAAGCGGCAACACTCAATCCTCTCATCCTGTAAAGCATTTACAGGAAGAAATGTAAACAGTATAGTCAAATAACCAATTCAGTTTAAGTTACTGTAAAGCGAATAGTACATGGATTTTAGCACACTATACCGAAGATCTGGTCAAATTTACGAGTGGAGCTCCCTCATCAATCTTCCATATTCTTGCAGAACCATCAGTTGAAGTTGATACTAAAAACGCTGAATCCAAGCTACATGACAAAGAGGCATTTCAGGATTAAATGTGCTGCCAAAAAGAGCTTACTTTATAATTTAATGAACAAATAGCAATTGGCTAATTGACCTAATTAGTAACAAGGATCTCCTTTGCAAAAGTTTGTACTAAACTATCACGACATACCCAGCAGCTTTGGTATGTACAGTCCATCAGATCCTATTGATCCACGAGGTAATAATCATTTGTCAATTAACGCAAGGTCATTCTTTAAAAAACAAGGCGTCTACTTTCATAGTTTCATTTACCTGATGTCTATGTCCCTGAAGGATTTATGAGCTTTAGGTTCATCCAAAAGCACAGTGAGGCTTGGCCAGTGAAATATTCTTAGATGGCCATCCTGTATTAGTGGAGTATAAAAATAGGAAAGTTTAGTTAAGAACTCAAATTTGCGGTTTCCAGAAGCTAAAGTCCAGAATATAAATTTATAGTTCAGCAGATTACAACATGTCATAAATTACCCTCGAAGTTACATAACTTTCCCTACAGAAAAAAGCTACATAACTCTGAACAAAAGAGAGATTTAACAACTAACATACATGATAATTTGTATACAGTAAATGCATGAAAAAGAAAAAGCAAGGTGGAATGGCCTGATACCTCACCACCAATGGCAAACTTAGTACCATCAGTACTGAATGCCAAACATCGCTGAGGCCCAACTGATTGGAGTGCCGAGGAATCTCTCGAAACAAGGTTGATACAGAAGTCATCATAGACCAGCTTGAACAGCCTGCAAATGCGATAGAATGAATGTCTTATCCAGGTGAACTTGAGAATATGAGTGAAAGAGGGGAAACTGAAATGCAGTTGATGTACAGGAAGAGAAAAGGAAAGGGTTCCATTTCTGCTATCAGAAGCCTGAAGCCTGAAGAATGTCATAAAATTTATTCTCTCAGTACATATTTATTCATGCAGCAGAACAGAGCAAAAACAGCAGCAGCAGCAGGACAGAGCATGTACAAGAACAGTTGCCAGATGATGAGATACTGTACATTTGAAATGGATCTAGTAACACTGACAATGTAAAATTACTTGCGATGCAATTGTAAATAAACATAGGAAGCTTACTTCAGCAATTTCGAAACCTGACAGTGTCAGCAAGAAAAGAAAATAAAAAGCTCTGATGAAAATGTACAAGCCAAGCTGGCCATCAGTTAGACCTGTACAAGAAAGAGAAGCCACGACCCACGAGCACGTACGCACCTGCAGCCTTTGGCGGTGGCGCAGACGAACTCGTCGCCGGCGGGGTGCACGGCGATGGCGCGCGGCGTGTCCGCGTCGGCTCCCTCCTCGCCCATCACGACCCTCAGCTGCAAATTCATTAAACCCACGGTCAGAGACACGGCTCTAGCCGAGGCAGCAGCAGGCGTCGAAACCCCGCCGAGCGCGCGCGCACGGGATGCTCGCTCACCAGGGGCTCGGAGGCGAGCTCGCACGCCCTGGTGTCGAAGGCGAGGAGGTCGAGGAACGGTGGGGACGAGGGAGTGGCGCGGCGGCAGTACACCACGAGGAGGCTGCGGCTGCTGGACACGGCCGGACCGCCGGCCGGCCGCCGTATCCACGCCGCGCAGGTCACCTTCCCGGTCACCCCCGCCGGAGCCTCGTCGCCGTCGCTCGCCATCGGAGCCAACCAGCAGCTGCCCAGAGCTTCGGTTCCAGTACCGGCTTCTCCGGCTCTGCCTGCTCTTAATTGGCGCTTGTAGTATTTACTTTGTCGTGCCGCCGCGGTGCGCGTTGGAGCCTGGCGCGAGCGGGCGGAGAGTGCGACGGAAGGGAATCGTTTCGTCTGGGGACAGCCGCCGGGATATTCTCAGGCCGGCAGCGCCCCCGCACCGCCGCCAGGGCGATTTCAGCGCTCTGCCAACTCCGCCCTGATCGAAGCTGTCACCCCTCCTGTGATTTTGCTAGTTCTGTGTTCGGTCTGCGACCGCCGTTTTTACATCTCTTGTAGGCGGAGTGCAAATTTGCACGGCGAGATGTTGTATTTTATATCTTCGCCAAGGGGAGATGTAAATTATTTTGCATATTGATGAGGGGTTTTTGGGGCAAGTGATGCAAAAGTTAGTTATTTGTGCATTTGAATCATTT